GGTCTTTATGGAACATCCTATATATATATATTTAGAGTTAGCGTATTAAGTTGCCCAACATTTGCGCGTTCAACTATGGTGTTACGTCCAGTGGACTCCACGATTCTTTTCTTTCCCCAAAAGCATTATTAATATTTTCTCTCATATAAGAATATTGATTTCGATCTTTTATTAATAAGATAAGTAGACATGAAGCAACAGAAAAAGAATTATAACCGCTCTAATTATTCAAGTATATTAGGACGAGCTTTTTATTTTATGCGAAAAGAATATTAATAAATATTAAATATTATAAATCCTCAGGTTGGGTCTGTTGCAAGTCTGTATATCAAGCATAAACGTACAACAAGCACGAGCGAAACATGATATCTAACGTAAACATCCTGTTTAGCTCGCATCCTGTCCTACCCTCCCTCCCTAGCTACAGATTCCTAGAACCAACATTCCTTCTCTACAAGAATCAGACTCTGGCCAGCCTATAAAAACGGGGCTTTTCTGGACATAGCTATTATTTTCTACATTTTCATTCAGTGTGGGCCAGCATTTATTAGCCATTAATTTTTCAATTTTCAGTCAGTACAGGCCATTTATTTTTTGCGATTCATTCTTCACTTATTCATTATTCTGTTTCGCTACTCTTCACTGTTACAGTAGAACTTGATCGTCACAACTTAATTCAGCACTATCTATCCAGCATTCATTATTCTTTCAAGACTAATAATTAAAAGCAGTGAACACAAGTCAAGCTTCCAGAAGAATATCCAGACTTATTCTTCGGTTACCTCGATCTCAATCGACCATTAGTAAGTCTTTTGTTGATTATGGAATAATTTTTTGCAATTTTCGAATTTTCATTCCACTTTACTAAAAACTACATCTCTCTTTTCTTTATTCTTTTTCCTTTTATTTTTCCTTTCTCTTTCTCCCTCATACCGGTGCGGACTGCCAGGGACTTCCGAATTTCGTTGAAGGCTCTTGAAGATTTCCGGTTATTTTACCTACTTTCT